CCATCACTGGTACGTTATATATAAATATATAATAATAATTTAATCATTACTTAGTGAATTAAAACCCACCTGGAAATATATTTTATTACGTTAATAGCCAGGTCACAACTATTCTCTTTTACTGTTTTTGGTTGTTTGTTTGTTTGTTTTTCTTTCATATAGTATCTTTACGTGAGAAGTTCCAGTACGGTCCAACATGAGAAGACTGAGCGCGGACACGTAAGTGAGGAAGGGGGCACTCTCCCTGGAGAAGCAGGAGCCTTTAATACACGAAAACGAGACGAGACGGGCCCAAAGCTGCAGAGAGACTAAAGGTTACCTCAGATAAAAGCTGCTTACCTGATTCGTGACCTGAAAGGAAAGCAGAAAACAAAAGCGCGTTAAGATCCCGGTCGGATCCACGGGCTAAGACCCCTCCCGTTCCCGGACATCCCTGAGGCGGCGATGCTGAGCCCGGCGCGGCCCCGAGACCTCTGCCCTCCGCCATCCTCCCGCCCTCCGTTATCCTCGCCCAGCAGGCTGGCTGCCGGGCGGGCAGCCCTCCCACCGCCCGTGCCGGGTACTCACGTCGGGGTTGGCCTCCAGGGGCAGCCAGCGGTGGGGCTCCATGGCGGCGGCAGCAGCGGCGCTCCCGGGTCGGGCTGGGTCGGACTCGCAGTACGGCTCTGACAGCGCCCCGCGCCGCCGCGCCTCAGCCTGACCCGGGGCCGCGCCACCGCGCCGCTCGGGGGGGAAGGGGGGGGCGGGCCGAGGAGGAGACAACCCTCCAGAGCCTACCCGCACCTCCGCGCCGCACCGCAGCGGCCGCCGAGGCGGCGCGTCCGGCGGTGACCGCCGTCCGTCCCTCGAGTGCTCCGGGCGGTGATGCCCGGCAGATCTTCCACTGCGCACCGTTTCAGGTCCCCCCTCGGCAATGGATTCTCCCAGCGGGGCAAGGGGTGGTGCCTCGCCCTCCCCGCCGCCGGGGCTCGCGGCGGCCGCCAGGGGGCACCCCCACCGCGGCCGCTCGGCGCTGGGGCGTGGGTCAGCTCCCGCTCCCGCCGCAGCTGGAGCCGATCCCGCCGGGAACCAAGGGTGCGTGAGGAGCGGCCACCAAGCGCCTCGACAGCCCAGCCCCACCGAAACGGCCTCCAGCAGCTGAACGGAACGGCGGCACGGGCAGCGCGCAGGGAAACACATCCGTGGGGAACGGGGCAGGACGCGGGGCGAGGTGGGACAAAGGGAATCGGAGGGAGCGGCAGTCGCAGTGAGCTTCTCCTACATGACAGAATGTCCTGAGTTGGAAGGGGCCCACAGGGATCATCCAGTCCAACTCCTGGCCCTGCACAGGACACCCCAAGAGTCACACCGTGTGCCTGAGAGTGTTGTGTGCTGTGACCACTTCCCTGGGGAGCCTGTTCCAGTGCCCAACCACCCTCTGGGTGAAGAACCATTTTCTAATACCTTACCTACCTCTCCCCTAGCACATCTTCAGGCCATTCCCTCGGGTCCTGTCACTGGTTGCCAGAGAGAAGAGATCAGTGCCTGCCCCTCCTCTTCCCCTCACCTGAGAAGACCTCAGTGTGTGTAGCAGCAAGGACCTGGGCACTGAGGACCCTATATGACCTGCTGAAAATTATTGTTAAGATGTGTTAAACCCTATTAAAGATGGCATTTTTCTTCTAAAGCTGCAAATCCTCTCATATATTCCATCTCAGGATCATAAACGTGGCATTTCTTGGCCTTTTGGATACCATGAAACATCTTGTAATAGATACATAGCATGTACAGTGTAATTACATTTTATATATGTACACATACCAGATGCCTACCAGATGCCTTCTTTCAAGTTAATTCAGAAAGGCTAAAAATGAAGGAACCCCTCATGGCACTTGTGAGGTTGCACCCCAAGTACTGTGTTCAGTTCTGGGCCCCTTAATTTAGGAAAGATGTTGAGGTGCTGGAGCAGGTCCAAAGAGGGACAACGAAGCTGGTGAAGGGAGTCGAGCCACAAGTCTTATGAGGAGTGGCTGATGGAGCTGGGGTGTTTAACCTGAAGAAGAGGAGGGACCTTACTGATCTCTACAACTGCCTGAATGGAGGTTGTAGCAAGGTGGGGTTCACTGTCTTCTCCCAGCCAGCCAGTGACAGGACAAGAGGACATAGCCTTAAGCTGCACTAGGGTAGGTGTAGGTTGGATATTAGGAGGAATTTCTTCACAGAAGCTGTGATTAGACATTGGAATGGGTGGTGGTGGAGTTAACCATCCCTGGAGGTGTTTAAGGAAAGACTGGGTGGGGCACTTAGTGCCATGGTCTAGTTTACATGATGGTGTTTGGTCGTAGGTTGGATTTGATGATCTCAGAGGTCTTTTCCAACCAAACTGATTCTGTAATTCTGTGATTTCTTGGCCCCAGCCCTCCCTGACTGCTGCTGGTCAGCACCCTCTACAGACTGAAGCTGACCCATGTATCCCTTGCAGCACTTTTACAGGGCCTTGCACTTCCAGAGGCAGGCATTTGGACAAGGTTTTTGTAGAAGCCCATGAGCTGGGCCTCCCAGCCTGCCCGGCCTGTGAGCACAAAGACTTGGGGCAGCAGGAAGCAGGTGCCTGAGCATGCATGAGCATGCTCATGGGGTGGGCGGAGAGGGTGCAGGAACTGTGCCAGTTAACTGGCTAATCAGAGTGCTGTGAGACAAGGAAGGAGTGCAGCATGAGAAGCAGATGGTGTCTCTAGGTACTGTGGTACCTGGGAGTACCCAAGTGCCAGGAGGGCAGAAGGGCAGGGCGTTGGTGATAACCCACAGCCCAGGAGCTGGAGGAAGCCAGTTCACAGATACACTTCCTCCTGTCTGACTGAAAAGCTCTTTGAAGAACTTGGTGTAGTTCTCTAGAGAGTTTTGATGCAAATTGCACTGCCTTCTGTAAATGTTAAGTCTACTAATGGAAGAAATGACCTAATGATGTTTTTATTTTATTTTATTTTACCCCCTGTAATTACTCAGCAGAACTATGGTGATGCTACATGCCTATGCCTGAAGCTTCTGGTTTGGCCCACTAACAATACTGTAGCATCTCTCTATCCAGTCTACTTGTAGCTCATGACATTTGTCTTCTAGTTTCTATACTAAATGTCTTCTCAGAGGAAGTTCTCAGTCCTATAGCTAAAAGATGAGCCCGTACTCTCAGGTCACCATCACAGCCTGCATCTCCATTCTCTGCCATGAAAACCTTCATAGAACACACTTCCAAAAGGCAGAATTTTCTAAAGATGCACAGTTTAATTCTGTGGATGGGCAGACAAGCTGAAATCACTGCATACTTCACCGCCTTCTGTTCCAAATTCAGAGAATTAAAAGCATGTTTACACGTTGATGAAAATAACCCAAAAATAACTTCAAATTTCAGCAAATGATTTTGTAATTACCAAACCACCAAGATATTAAACTTCACATCCATCTCTACATCGTGGAAAAAGAAACAAAAGTACCATAATGAATATTAGTCATAGTGCTGAAGGCACTACTGAGAGACTTAATGAAATTGTAATGTAAAATAATATGTAATGTGAAATAATATGTGAAGTTCTCTAGATAACAAAGTATGTAATAGAGTTATGTAATTTAAGAACAAAGAGATTGTTAAGTCATGTCCTTGGTATCAGAGACAGATCTCGGTGGTGCATACATCGCTAGTGTTTTGACAACCATGAGGTCATAAGAACACACACTATTAAAAATCATTTGCACACTTAATTAGACACTTTAGAAGGGAGAGACCAAAACCAGACAGGCCATAAATGTATAAAGCTCATAAACACATATTATGTTCCATAATTCTCTTTTCCTGAAATATATTCTAGATTCTTTCATTAACATTAATTGAAAATATGCAATCTTAAACTAGTCAGCAATACTGTGTATTGGTTTTATTACTCTCACAGTCTCAGATTAGATCTACAAAGATTTTAACATTACTGTATATATATAAAGTTAAAACTAAAACTGATTACTAGGGAAGTTTAAAAATATTATTTTTAAAAGTGAGACTGGTGAAGGATCAGTGTTGCCTTAGTACTCCAGCCACAGGCCAAAGTTAATTAAGATCAGTATGAAATGCTTATTGAATACACTTGTAGTTTATAAAAGGTGTCTTTCCCCATAAAGCTGAAGATGCTGTTTACCTACACAAGTCACCCATAAACTGCACAGGGGTTTTTGCATATGTACAGGATGATTCCACAATCCACCTGAACAAAGTATGGTCATTTTGTACCAAGTTCAATACACTGTAAGTGCTGCCTGCACATAGAACAGGGCATTGCCTGTCCTACAAAGACAGACTGAAAAAGCTGGGGCTGTTCAGCCTGGAGAACATTGTGAGGAGACCTCATAGATGCCTTCCAGTATCTGAAGGGGGCCTACAGGGAAGCCAGAGAGGGACTCTTCATCACTAACTGCTGGTGGTGCAGTGATAGGACAAGGAGTAAGGGGTACAAATTGGAAAGAGAGTAGGTTTAGATATTAGGAAGGAATTCTTTACTGTGAGGGTGGTAAGACACTGGCACAGGTTGCACAGGGATGTTGTGGATGCCCCGTCCTTGTCCGTGTTCGAGGCCAGGGTGGATGGGGCTCTGAGCAACATGGTCTAGTAGGAGGTGCCCCTGGCCTTGGCAGGGGGGGGTGAGAATAGATGGTCTTTAAGGTCCCTTCCAACCCCTTAACATTCTGCGATCCCATGATTTGCGTACCTGCGCCCGTGACAACGAGCTCCAAGAAAGCCCTATCAGTAAACCAAACTCGTCAAACTCCTCGCGCCCATCAGGCGTGACTCCAGCCAGCCTTTCCCCAATCCCTCCGCGGACGGTCAGCCGCATTTCCCGCGCCCTCGGGGCGGGAGCGGCGCGTGCTCCCCGCGCCGCAGCCAATGGCGGGCGGTGCCGCAGGCCCGGCCTCGCTCTGGAGGCGCTCGCAGCCAATCAGGGCGGCGGGCGCTGCGCGGCGGGGGCGGGGCCGGGGCGGGTGCGCGGCGCGAGCCATGGCGGCCGGTCCCGCGCGGGCGGTGGCGCGGGCGCTGGAGGCGCTCGGTGAGGGCAGGGGGCTCGGCAGGAGGGACCGGGAGCGTGAGGGGAAAAGGGGAGCTGAGGGGTGGGGGAACGGGGCTAAAGGTATAGGGGGGCTGCGTGGAAGGGCGGGGCTGGGATATTGGGTTGAGGGGGAAGTGGGCTCAGGGGAGGGGTGTGCTTTTTTTTTTTTTTTTTTTAGGTAAATTTAAGTTAAAAATTAAATTAAGGTAAACGCATGCACAATGGCCTCGGGGTTTTTCAGACGAAGATTTTATGTTTTTACTGTAACTCTTGAAGTTTGCTCCTGATCGCTGCTGCTTGTGGTTTTTGTAGATGCTGGTGGTGCAGCAGATAAGATTAATTTAATACCTCAAGACTTCTTTGCAGAGCTGGTAAGTAGGGCGATAAAGGATGTGGAAGGGCTTCTGGCACCCCGCTTGCAGGAAGCTTTTTTGTTTAAGCTTTCCTGGCTTTTGTGTGTTGCAAAGGGAATCCTGTGTGTGTGGCAGCTTGACTTACATGGCTCATAAAATGGACCAGTCCTGCTAAGAGCAGTGGTATTCCCTGAAATTTACATTTTTATCGCAGATTTTTAAGAATCTACTTTTGCCTGTCATCTAGGTGATGTACCAAGGTAGCTTTCGTAAAAATATTTGGCTTGTTTAATGTAGTGTACACTTGAACAAGATGACTGTTCAATTAATGTGAAAATGGTGTGTTAAGTAGGAATAGGCAGTGAGGTAGAAATTATAAATTCTTGGTTGACTTTCTTTTCTCGGACTTGATGTAATTTTAAAATCAGTCACTTGAGTTACTTTATTCTTGACTCTTTAATAAAGCATCCCCCTGTTGTCCATATTTGTACTAACCAGTTTTCTTTTTTGTTTTGTAATCTCCCAAGTACTTGAACTAGCTCTGTCGTGTGTACTGAAATATGCATTAAGAATGTCTTCAATAATACTTTCTTCACAGTGTGAACAAATAATTCATCATCTGAACCATAAGATCCCAGGTGTAAATACAGCTGAATTGTGTCAGGTAAGTTGGGATACTGGCACTTGTAAGCAAGTATAGTAGCTGTATTTGCTGTTAAGGATAGAATCCCTGAGTCAGTGTGGGGGTTTTTGTGTGGGAATACAAAGAGGCTTTTATTAATGCATAATTTATTGTTTGTAATTGTTTGAACATTCTGTTTTTAGAGAATTCAGACATCAGGGATTGAAATTAACATTGGTGACCTGGCAAAAATAGCTAACGTTCTTTCATTTCTATTTAGGTAAGCACAAAATAATATACTTTTCACTATGTTTTCCCCCTCCCCCCAGCTTTATAGTGGTATTAAAAAGTTACATCAAATGGAGGTATAAAATGAACTGATTTGGGAAAAGGGCCAAAGTTTGTAGGTCTCAGTACACAAAACAGAACTTCTGGGCTTAGTTTGTGTCCTTAAAATCATGTAGTTACTTAATACATAGTATCACTTTTTGTAATAAAAAGACAAAGAGAGGAAATTGTCCAAGATCCTGTCTGCAAGCTCTAGAACTAGTGGCAAAATTGAGGAAGTTAAGGTCACTTTTATAGCTAAGTCAGCTGGACCTTTGTCTAGGAGGAGTGTGTTTTAATTTAAAAGTTCTTGTTTCTTGGAGATTAGAAACCAGCATTTGTACCTGTTTGAAGGAGACACAGCTTATAATATTGCACTCTGCCATGAATAGAGTTTTTAGGGAGTATTTTCAGTTGTTGTTTTAAGTTTTTCTGGTTTCAGACAGATAAAATTTTCAAGATGCTGCTTGTTCTTTTAAAATATAGCATCAAAACAGTTTATGTAACATTAATACATCTGAAGAAAATAATACCTGTAGAAATTTAAAATACTACTTCTCTAACTATAAAACAGAAGGACTTAAATTATATTAGACCTTGGAGGGCCAACTCACTTTGTCTTGTATTAACGACTCTTTTAAGAAGAGTGAACCTGCGTGAACAACCATAGGCTAGGATTTACTTTTTTATGTGTTTCTCTAGAGGAAATCAAGTGGCAACTTTGTTCTAGACTTGCTGCCTTTTCAGATGAGGGTTTATGGCATCATTTGACTCCTGTTGGTACCAGTTATACCTAGAAGTCCTTACTTGCCATTTGGTGATAGTTAAATTACATCTGCTGAATGTTTAATTAAATTGTCTTGTTTCTAAAGTAATGATATTATTTAACTGCTCCACGCACACATCTCTCGCTGAATTATGTCTTCTTTCAGTTGATGCAGCACTTGGAGGCTGTGATTATTTTTGTTTTAATGTTGGATGTTGTGCGAGGCCAGCAAAGCTGAGTCTCTGCATAATAAGACATACTAAAGTCATGGTTTTTGCATGTGGATACAAAAGATGAGTAACATTCTGGGGAAAAAAAAAATCCCAGGCTGCCGGAGTATTTTAAAGTACATGTAAAGCAGACATGAAAAAATTGCTATTTGGGGTGCAGTGAGAAATTTTATTAAATTTTTGGGAATGAAAGTGATGCAGTGTTCTCTGGGTATACTTACAGCACAGCAGCCAGAAACAATCTCTCTACAGAAGAACTCGTCACCACCTTGGGCAGTGCAGTCAGCACACTGCCAAAACATGCACTTCAAGTTATACGTCATGTGTGGAATGAGCAGGGCAAATTTGTTACTGCGTCAGAAGATGCAAGAAACGTGGCCACCGTGGGGCAGGTAACTAAAAGTGACCAAGTGCAGTTGAGCCAACTCTGAACATTTAGAAGTGTCAGTGCCACAACATTGTGTACGATGTGTTGTTGGCACACGGTGGTATCTTGACTGCAAAAAGCTTTCCTACCTCTTGTTGTATGTACATGTTGCCAAATATCTATCCAGATAAAGCAGCATGTGCAATAAAGGTTGTCTACATGCTGAACAGCTTCATACTTTTGTAAAGATTAATGCTTTGTAAGTACTATTAGCGAAGGTGAGTGGTAGTCAGTCTGGCAGACAATTGTATCGGCTGTTTATGTAAATCTGTTTTAAATCTAATTTAAGTTCTTTAAAGCTGATAACACCAGCACTTGATTGTTTGCTCTTTGTCTCCCTTAAGTTTAAACATTATTTTTAAAGATACTTTCTGTCAATTTCCAGCATACTTTCTCTGCTTGAAAAAGATAGCAGTGTATTTGCATTTTATGATCTTTTTTTTATAACAACAGCTTAAAAGACTATAGAATTAGGAAAAAAAGAACATATTTGTCTGTGGCTTGTTAGTAAGCTTGTAAAGGCTCTTCAGAAAAGGCAAAAAATGTACTTGTGATTTATCTAAAATATGGTTATGAAATACCACAATTTCTCTCTATTATTACTATTACAAATTCTTTGGTTTAGACTTAGAAACTTTGTTTTTGATTTAGAAACTTCTAAAAAAAAGAAAACATGACAAAAGCGTTCATGATATACAAGCCCTGTGAACTTGTGTGTCTGGAGCTCCTCTTACTAGAATTTTAAGTACAGTGTACTTGACTATTGACTGTACTTGAATAAGGAAAACAGATTAAGGTGAAATAACTTAAAGTGAAATAACTTATTAAATTGCTTCTTTTTTCACCAGTAAAAGAAAGGGCAGATGAATTTTTGTTCACAGTAATATCCGAATATGTATGCTTGCTTTCCATTTGGATAAGAGCTCCAGACATCCTGTATTGTCTGTGAAACATCCTTCCAACTGAGTAGCAATGGTAGGGTAGATCTCTTTCTTTGGCACTGTTTCCAATGGTCTTCGTCTTTGCAGTTTGTAGATATGAAATGGAAACTGGGAGTTGCGATGAGCTCTGACACCTGCCGGTCTCTGAAGTATCCATATGTTACAGTGACGCTGACGGTGGCAGACCCTTCAGGACACATAACGGACAAGTCTTTTGAAATGACGATCCCACAGTTCAAGGTCTGTAGTGAGCGTTACTTGGCTCAGTCTCCTAAAAACAGTGCTGTTGTTGTGGAGGAGCAGCTGTGTATACCTTAACCCATACTTCGGTGTTGCTTGTTTACCAATACAGTCATGAGAAGATGAAGTATTAAATAACTGTTTAAAACACAGAAGCTAAATACTTATTTCACAGTATTTAGTTCTACATGGCTTATCTGAAAATGTTATTTTAGCAGTACAGCAGTCTGTTCTCATACAAATAAACTAACAACTGAAGACATAAAGTCTTTCAGATCACGTCAGCTATCATTCTGCTTTATTAAAAATTTACAGAATATTCTTAATCTATGGAACTGTTCCCCAGCTTCAAAATGTAAAACTTGGCTTAAGCCTAACATTTGCTAATATTAGGAATGGAGATCAGTCTGCTTTGTCATCCCTGACTCTTTAATTGCTATGTTTTCATCTGTGAATTTATGCAACTTTAGTTTTGCATAAATGCAGCACTTGTCATTCCTGTTTAAAGGGGTAACATATCACCTAGAATATCATATAAGCTTAAAATAAATAGATTCTTGGATTGGAAGAAATTTGAGAAGGATATTCTGAATCCTTCGGTATTGTGAAATGTATTCATTCTGATTGAAGCCTATTTAACAATTTGCTGTTGAGCTACTATAGGAAATGAGTGCAACATTTGAGAAGTCTGGATTAATTCAGATGGGAGTAGAAACATGAGTGTGAAAAGGGAGTTTTTTTATTTTATTTTTTCATGGTATGAGAGCTGCTTTGTATTTTTCTTTCCTAGCATCTTTCCCTATTAATAGACAAGCTTATGCAAATAAGGCATCACCTTTGTAGTTAGTTAGTAGTTAATGTGCCCAAATGTCAACCAGCCCACAAAAAGAAAAGCAGAAACTTGCAGTTCAAGCTGCACATTGTAACTGGAGGAAAAAAGGAATGTGAGAAATATGGATAGTGGTTTTTGTCTAACATGCTAGTTTGAACTGTTCAAACTTTTCTTTAAGCAACTGAAATTTATCTTAATTTTTGCTTTTTAGAACTTCTTCAGACAGTTCAAGGAAATGGCATCTGTTCTTGAAACAGTTTGAAGAGAACTTTCATTTACAGTGACATTTTGGACAAAGTTAGATCAAGGAAACTTTCCGTTCTGCACAGGGAATAAAGTGCTATTGTTCAGCAAGGTATGTATCCTTGTCTCTTTGACAAGAATTGCTCAGCATCATCCTTGCATTGCTGTGAAGATTTCTTCGCTTTGAAGCCAACTCTGCAGTGTTTGTGAAAACATGTTCAGCTTTCTTCATCCTGGTAGACAAAATATTGGGATGTGTATGGAAAACCATCCCTGTAGTCTTCCTAAACCCACACTGTGTGGTTTTAGTGCAGAAAGACACCTGAAAATGTTAACTGGAAAGATACAGAGAGAAGTGGAAATCTCATGTTAACACTTTTGTCTGTAAAATTGGGATGCACTTGGACTCAACAGTGATATTACATATAAGGAGAATATGAAGTTACATGTAGCAAGCATACAGTTATTCTTGAAGAATAGCATTGTCGAGTAGTTTGGTGCAGGTATTTGCAGACTTGGTTTCCAGTCTTTTAATAACTGGAGAATGAACTTGTCTTAATGGCTTGTTTATTTCAAATACTTATTTCTCACCACCTAAGCTTCTAAAACCTGTGTTAATGCATTAAGTTTTTCCAGAAACCCAAAATTTACCCTCTGAATTGAAGCCCAGAGGCTAATTTTACATAAAGGTAGAAAGGCAAATTTAATTCAAAAGCATTTTAATGTATTTTTGCTTTTTCATTTCATCCAGTATTAATCTCTTGCGTTCTGCTTAATGATTTTTTGGTCAGCAGTCTGCTTTTTAATTAAATTAGGATGTTGATTTAGTTGCCTCAGTCCAAGCTCTGAACTAGAAAAGTCAAGAGGAAACTTGAAAATACAGGCTGGAGTGTTAGCCAAGTCCATCAGAGAAAGGACCACATTAAAAGATTTGCTTGTTGCATTGTGTCAGGCATCCACTGGACTCTGTTCTGCACACTCGCTCTCAGAGAATGTCCTAATCAGCAAGATTTTGGACTTTGGTGCTGAAGAATGGGGGCATTTCCAAAGGGGAGTGATAAATCCAGTGTGATTGCATGCTGGTTTTTAAAATTTTTTTCATTGAGTTTTCCATAAAACAAAACACACACTGCATGTACTGTGGGATGCAGTAAAAGCAATACTGTTGCATCTCAAGATGTGCTGGTGGTGTAGCAGAACAAGTAAATCTGAAGAGAGATAAGTCGTAAGCAGACTGAAGTTTATGCTTCAAATTCAGAATGGTAGAGACTGAGAACCAGTTTTGCTTGGACAGATCCTCAAGTGATTTCAGGCCCTCTTAAAAGTGAGAATATCTACCTTTCTAATTCACTTAATTTTTTTTCCCCACTAACGTTTCTTAAAAGCTGGCTGAAAGTCATTGCTATTGGTTATGCCTGCCTTTTTGTGCTATAAAAACAAACAGCATGTTGTGCTGCATGCAGCAATCCTTTCAGGAAAGAAAGGATTTTCACCCCCACGATTTGGGTACTATGCATGGTGCATAAAAACAGTACTTGGGAGTTGCTTAGAAGCCCAAATAAGTGGAACAGTGTTGGCTTTAACAAAATTTTTCAGCTATGGCCATTGATCTGGATGATATGTTCTTTGTGCTGCTTGAAGTCTGAGGTGTTTGTGGCTGGGGAGAGCAGGTTGGTCTTCTCTGGGACCCTCCAAATAGAATGTCACAAAATGGTCTTGGAACACTTAGCATTTTCTCTTCCCTTCTCTGTCTTCAAGGGCTCAAGGCTGAACCTAGTGCAAACAAATCCTGTCTGTGTATGGAAAAGTGATGTTAGCAGCTGTTGTTTTTCGGGTTTTTTTTGTTTGCTTTTAATTTGCAAAAGTTGGAGTGTAAGGCTGCTATAACTGGAAAACATTGGCTTTGGCCTAGTGAATTAATTGTTTTACATTAGTGCAAGAGTTCCAAAAACAATAAGTGTGGGTTTTTTTTTAGTAAAGCTGGAGCCTTACAAATACTTCCCATGTGTTCTAATGCACATAAATTCTTCATATAGCTGGAACTACTTGTGCCTTCATTGGAACTGGATGGAAAAGATTTTATTCACCATGTCTTAATGATTCAGTAGATGCTGGAAGGTAATGAGGGAACTTCCAGTTAGCATTTTTGCTTGGTCCATCAGGAAGAGGAGAAAGTTGTCAGCCTTTGTAAAGTGTAACTTATGTTTTGTCAAATCAGATATTCTAGAATTTTGATGAATATTTTTTAAAATGTCCCTGAACTCCATCCAGCATGTTGTAATTCTGGCTGGAAGATGCTTGGACATGTGTGCTATACCAGTTTAATGTCTGAGAATTTTCAGAGGAGTTATGATTTGAAGTTGGCTCAGTACTCAAACTTCTGAAATATGTTCTGATCTATCAGTGGGAACTGCTCTACTGAGTAATGGAAGAATTAAGTACTTTATTAAAAGAAACCACACTAAAAACCTATCAGTTTGCAGGATAGCAATACTAACACGTTCAAACAAGCTGACAAGCTGTTGAATTGTTTATCTATTTTATGTGCAGAAACCAGATCTTTTAAAAGAGAATCAGGAGTCCTCTTGTGTTCCTAATTCTAATTGTTGATTAATACAAAATTGTATAACATGAATATTTTTGTAAATCTACAAACAGTCATTAAACATGTAGGTAACAAAGATAAAGCTGGTCTGTATTTTGTTTTAAGCCTACTGCATGCAAGTCTGTCTTGTAAATAATGACTAAAGTTCAGGATTAGACTATGACTTAATTTTTTTCCTTTTTAAATTAGGATGGAGTTCAAACATAAGCAGTCTTTCTCTGTGATGGGCTACCAAGGAGCTGATGGGTAACTGCAGGCTGCAAGGATTATTTGTATCAGTTACTTAGAGCTAGACAAAGTGTTATATTGAATCAGGAAAAGACAGAGGAAATACAAGATTCATTAAATTTTGCAGGAGGTTGCATTTAAATGATTTTATTTCCTTAATTGTATTTAGAAGACCTGTAAACATTTTATTTTTTTCAACATTTGCCTAGAACAGACCAAGAGGAAGGAAGGGGGGTGGGGTCTTGCACAGTCAACAAACCCAGGGGAGGGAATAACGAAGAAATGTCCTAGCAATAAGTGCTGTCTTCATCACATGACTTTTTTTTTGCTTTAATTTCAAACACAACAATCCACTTGCAGAAAGCTATTTTTGTAGAAAGCTCCACAGAAAGAGTACACAAATAGCTGTAGTATGGCTGTGCACTAGTGTTCCATATTGAGCTTCTGCACACTTTGGCCTAGTCATGACCCAAGTAAAAGCATCTCTGTTCCTACTTCCACAAAACTGTACTGCCTTTCTTTAACCACATTATAAAGATATGTAACTTCCTTGTTCACTGTGAGTCCATCCCCTTTGATTTTTTTACATTTCTCCTTCTCAAGCCTGTGCACTCTGTTTGAACACCTGAAGATACATTACCTTGGATCAATTAAAAACAAAAGTAGAGATATGATAAGTTGAAGGAAGAATGTTTTTTTTTCTTTCTTGCTTGCCCTGTTCCTTGTCATGTTTGAATGTTTTGTTACCCTGTAGGTATAATGAGAGGGTAATTTCCACTCCTTTGCAGAGGCATGCAGGGTGGTTCTGGCTAGCCTTTGCAGGTACTAAAGTAACACACAAAAGTGCCTGAGTAATTTGATCTACCTGCAGCAAAAAATGCCTCATCTCTGAAGAACCTTTACAATGTGGGCAGGGGGAGGGGGGCATTTAAAATTGAGCACCCTCCTGTCCAGGATTCTTTGGTTGATCATGGTAGGGCTCATTTCCTAGACAGATTTTTAGGACAGTTATATGCCTGTTGGTTGGGCTGCTAGCTTGCTGGGCATTCACTTCATTAGGAAGCTGGATTTGTGCATGTTAGTATCTGACCTGAGTGCTTTGACCTGAGCTTGCATGGTATGTTGTTGCAGTTCTCCCTTCCTGAGGCTCAGGCCATTCATAATTGGATGTGCTTGTCAATTTTTGGCCAAATACTTCCTTTACTTTTGCTTTTAGTGTACAGCACTGTCCATACCTACTCATCCAGGTCTACTTTTCTTTCTTTAGGGGAGGTGTCATGGTTTAATCCCAGGTCAAACACCACACAGCTCCTTGCTCACTCCCCTCCTGTGGGACGGGAGGGAGAGTCAGAAAAGTTAGAAAACTCATGGGTTGAGATAAAGACAGTTTAATAGGTAAGGCAAAAGCTGCACACACAAGCAAAGCAAAACAAGGCACTCCAAATATCCCCCCTTCCTCTTTCTTCCCCACCCTTTATGTACTGAGCATGATGTCGTACAGTAGGGGATATCCCTTTGGTCAGTTGGCATCAGCTGTCCTGGCTGGGTCCCCTCCCAATTTCTCATGCACCCTCAGCTCCCTTGCTGGTGGGATGGTGTGAGAAGCAGAAAAGGCCTTGGCTGTGTTTAAGCACTGCTCAGCAACAACAAAAACATCTCTCATATTATCAACACTTTCCAGCACAAATCCAAAACATAGTCCTGTACCATCTCCTGTAAAGAAAATTAATTCTACCACAGCCAAAACCAGCACATGCAAATCAGAGGGACAATGCTCAGTACTCCTCATACCTTTGAAAGTCTTCCTGATTCTTGTTTCCAAGGCTCTTCAAGGGAAGGGGTAGAAATGACCCGTCACTTGAACTGAGTTACTGGGATATGTCTGTTAATGATGACTTTGTGTCATTGAGAAAGTAAGGAAGCTGAGATTGCTGATTGTCTCCATGAAGGCTGATTTTAGTGGTTCTGGGTTTCCTCTTCCCTATACTTCATTTGCCTCCTGTGGCTAATTACGGTCTAGTTGCCCTAATTTGAGAACTGCTTCTGTTCGTTATGTTTAAGTGCCATAGTTTCCAAATACTCTGTCAGTGCTTATATTACAAATACTATTATGTTTATATAAATTGGAAGTTTCAATGTCAGTTTTGTACATACTGAACTAAGGAACAGTAAGGAAAATTTATTATTTCGTAAAATAAATCTCTGTGCTAGGTAGTATTTCAGGGCACTTCATCATAGCATCGGTCACCAGGTGGCACTGCTATACACAGTCTTGCTACACAGCAATCCTTTGAGAGCATGTCTGGAAATGGGATAAGGACTTCAGGTTTTCTCCTCTGTGTTGCTTGGATCTGGAACTGTACACACTCGTGTCATCATAACTTCCATCCTACTTCTTACATTGTATGGAAACACTTTAATTTCTGTTTTAGTTATCAAAAAGATGAGCATAAATGTTTCCAGTGACACAAACAACAGTCAGCATTTTAATGGTAACAGAATACATACCATTGCATATTTGCACTAGCTTAAAACAGTAATTTAATTACACTAATGTTTCTGCATTATGACTCGTTCTTTTAAAAGTATCATGTTGCATTTGAAGCCTATCTTCATTTTACTTTTTTCCCTGTTTATACATTTCTCAAAGAGATTTTTCTAGATCTGTATCTTGTTTATAGAATGAGCATTTGCTTATCCAAGGTTTTTGTGCGGTTTGCCCACTCTAAAATCCTTCTTCCCTATTTTTTTAATGCAGCCTAGTTACCAGTGTCTTTATCCCACATTCAGGAATACACTTCTCTGCCACTGAAATTGGCCCAGGTGCTTAATTCCCCTGGGAATTACCTCTGAATCTGAATCAGATGTTTTTGGTTATACTGAAGCTGCAAAGAATTTTTCAGTTCCCATGAATGTCATCACTGTGGTGTCTTTGGCAGTTGAGAGCTTGGCCAAATTAAAGCAAGACAGGCTTCCTTCCCAGTGATGCTTTTGAGCTGGGAAGTACTGGATATTGCAACCACATATGAAGCCTGAGAGTGGTGCTAAGGTCTACACTCATAATAAGCAGAGGAATGTAAGTGCATGTCTCACACGAATCACCAGTGTGCTCTACGATGCTGCTTCTCGCACTCGGGAAGGTGGGAAGATGAGAGATGTTCTGCAGGCAACAGAGTCAAGACAACAGATGTCGATTAACCTAGGAGAGAGTCAAGGATAATGAGAAAGAGGATTAAGGGGTTCCCATCTGTTCCTTTTTTTTTTTTTTGGCAGCTACACTGGCACCATTCTTGGTATTGTGCTGGGCCTGCAAGTTGTTCATGGTAAGCTGTACCTTCTCTTACCATTCATACAGTACCGAGCTGTGATGTTGCAATAACATTTTAATAGTGATTGGCTTCTTTATATAAAAGCAGAAATAACTGGGAATAGGGAAGATCTTGTTGCAGAAATCGCTCTATCTCCTGCAGGAACTAGCTTTGCAACTGATCTGAGCCGCTAACAGCCACCAAAGTGTGTTATCTCAACAAGAGGGATTTTAGTAAGCTGATCTGATATACTTTTTTGAGGGGGGGAGCCTTATTAAAAAAAAAAAAAAGGACCAAAGAAACCTCAACAAATGTTCCCACCTGGAAAGATGCTATGATCACATGTAAGCACATGGGACTCGAGATTAAAACTTAGTTGTAAACAAAACGAATTGTGGTTCTTCACTGGATTCAAAGTCTGCATGCTGGAAAGTTTCATGGGATGACTGTTACATGAAAAAAATTACCAAAATAAGAATCTTTCCTGCATCAAATTTCTCTTCTTTGAAGAGAAATACTTCAGTGCATTATCTCTGTTAATAGGCGCTACAATAAATTGAATAACAATATGCTGAACACAGACATAAAATGTGGCAGGCTGCCTTAAATTCTAGGGGTTATTTATGAAATTTTACCTAGGGATTATTCTCTTATGAACTTTGCTCATTCTAGTTCCCCTAAATCTGTTTTGGAGTGGGTCTTATTGGCAGAACAAATTCTAATCTGTCATTACCATCAAAAAAGATTAGTGCCATTTGAGAAGAAAAAAACAAAACCAAACCACCCAACCCCTATCAGATTAATTTTTCATCCTTTTTATTGTGCGCAAATTGCAGTGAGTCTCCTGCTATTGACATGTCTCTACAAGACCAATATGTCTTACTCAAACTTTTGGCATTGCATTTTAAACTATTGTAATCTCTATACATCCTGGAAAATATACAGCTTTCATAATTTCTATTGAGGTTTTTTTATGTACTTAAAAGAGGAAGCACCAGGGTTTCTCCAGCAGCTGAAGTTCCAAGCTTTGGTAATATGTCCGGGCTACTGAATTTACTTTCTAATGCTTCAGTCGTATTTCCAAAATGCATTCTTCAAATAAGACTGGGTAATTTAAATTAATTAAATGTTTTTAAAGTAAAAATGCCTGTATCTTGGATCTCGCAAAAAGGTGATTTGAAACTGAAATAAAATATGACTAGTTAAAAAATACTGCAAATATGGAAATGGACCTTGAATTCTCAGACAATTAAGTGAGATCATTCTTAGAAAAGCAATAGAATGAGAAACAATCCCAGCTACATGGCATATTACTGAAATAATAGTCCAAGGTGATTGAAGTTATGCATAAACATGGGATTGTAAAGTCAAGCCTACAGCTCCTCTAATAACTTAATATTTTTTCTGCAATTAAAACTGTGGCTAGAAAGCTTAAGGGGATGGATAATTACTAGCAATTAACAGTCTGATCATGTGAGATGCTTAGGTCTCTCTGCTGCTTAAGAAATTGCTTAGAGCTGTGGTTGCTTACCAGTTTGTAGGTCTAAATCCTTTAACACTTTAACATCCTTAAACACGGTCTCTGGAACTGAAGATCCAGATATCATACATGAAATGGCTGCTGTGGTGCCATGTGCAGAAACAGCATACATTATCAAGGCATTGTCTTAAGAAACAAAACATGCTCTCTCTAATAAACAGAAAGAAAAAACACTTATCCATTTTATTTGGAAAAATAATCTTTACAGGTAATACTCCACTGACAAGCATATCAAATCCAAAATGTTCAGAGGCATTTACTCACATTTAGTTACCTGGATCTGTGTTTGGTCACTTCGGTAATATACCCTAATTTAAGAGATTTTGCATCTAATGTCTATTCAACAAAGAATAATGGCAGGTTATCAACAATTCAGAAAAGTCTGACTGGGTTTGTGGTTGGTTTTCTTTGACCATCTGAGCATGCACTTGCAGCACATGCTGTGACAATTATTGCCCATAGTACTTTATGTACTTAGGATCTTCCAATATAGTGTTCCCCTGGAATTTTACAGTTTGTTTCAAGAAGCTTGGTCAATGACAATGATAATAGTAAAAAAAGGAAGTTTTAAAAAATTGTTGCCTCTCACCAGAGGCTTTGTCTGTCATGTTTCTGGCACGGGTGCCACATTTACACCTCTTTCGATTTGGGATGACCTGGAGAGAAACTGCTCTGTTATTAAGAACAGAGATGTATTTTCAAAGCTCTGTGGATAAGGGCTATGGAAAGTAGCTTTCTTCTTTGTCCCAAAGTTTCTCATTTCTATTTACTGAGCTATAAGAGTTATATAGTTTAGGCTAATTCCTAACTATGTTGTGCAGAGAATTAGAGAAAGATGTTCTTGTTACCATTATAGTTTTAAACACTAGAAATTACATGACAGGCATGTCAGATGTCCCAGGCACAGGACTAGTGTGCTCAGTATGAGAGGAACTAGGAATTTTTAACTTAAAGTTGCATGAAATCTTAACAACTGAAATGAGAAAAGGGGACCAACTTCAAGAAGAAAAGTTATGTAACAAAAGGACTTTCTAATGAAACACTATTAATGAGATGGGGGGATAAAAAGTGTTAGGCAGATTAATGGATAAATGAAGTAAATGGATAAAGTTAATGGACAGCTCAAAGAGATTACTATGAAGAATCAATTCAGAGAGACATAAAAAGCTGAAGCAAGAAGAAAACATGAAAACTTTGGATTAACATCTGAGAATTTTATTTTGAAGGTAGTTAAAATATTAGTGGTAGAGTTTATATAGATTAATTTCATCTTATAAGGGATTTGTATAAAGAACTCAGTAATAAAAAGAAATGAGGTCAAAATAATCAGATCTCATACCATATTAAGGAAATCACCCAACTGAAGGAGAAACCAAACAGTTTTACATAACAGGCACAATGTTGATAATTCAAGAATTTCACATTCATTTTTCACATTTTAGAATTTCAGTTCTACCTGATAATTTGGAAAAATTGAATTACACCCTTAAAAGCTGAAAACACAGCACTGTAGCATCTTTCAGGCTTCTTGTTCCATTTGAATGATGTGAGAACAGAATCAATGCATCTGTGATTGCTTAAAAGAATTTCAGTCTCTTTTTGCTATTTTTTAATGTATTCACATGATTGTCTTCAAGTTTCCCGATTATTATTAATTATTTGTATTGCCATAACACCTAAAAGCCTAGGTGGCTGTCTGCAAACTGGTTTTGGTAGGTTGTATGCAAACATAAAACAAAAGGGATCTAATAGTCTCAGAGATGGTGTTAATAAGCATCTGCAGCTATTCAGTATGTTTCAGCCTCTCCCTTAGGCTGTTTCATTGGAATCATTTAATGACTATCCCACCTAAAACCATTGCAAAAGAACGTATGAGGGGGTTTTGCCGCTGCTGTAGTGCGAGCCCAGTGTTTAGTTCACTTCCCTGGTAGGTTAAATTGGTCTATGCGCTCAAGTGACTGAATTTCAGCTTCACGCTCTAGATGAATCGTCTAACCAACCGTCCCCAAAAGGGGTGAGTAGTCTTGCTGCCCTCTTCACCCCTGAGCAGTCATTCCCGCTTCCTTTGTGCCAACAGCAGTATCTCTGTGAGTGCTGTCACTTAAATTAGAGGCGGCTCACAGAACTGAACTGGCAGAAAAGGAGCAGCTCACTGCAGGATTAAACCAGAGCCAGCCTGCTGCCAGAAACCAAATGGGTCTTTCTCCTAGGTGCACTGTTAAGAGGATCCCAGTGGCTCCTGAATTGTCATCCCACAGTGGTGGAGCACAAAATCTCAAGTACCATTCTCAGCCAAAGGGTTAATGCTAACTGTGCAGAGTGAGGGACAAGAAATTTTTTAGTTTTGTGATCCAAAAAATCAGCCATTATTCTTCTAATTGCCCTGGTTGTAAAATCTACTGTACAACAATGCAGTTCAGATGTTAAAGTGTGCGAAAATAGCTTAGGGAAGCAGTGCCAGTCTGGCTTTAACTTATACCACTGTACTAAAGCTGGTGTTCTGCCTACATAAGACATTAGCTCTCCTGTCCCAAGGGAAATTGCAGGATGTCCCTTGAGGCTTGGAGGATGCCATGAAAGGAGATGTATTTGAGGTCTTACCAAACCAGAATGTTAAAACTGAAAACTAAAACTTATAAACCAAAATGCATAAACTAGATGGTTAAACTGGAAAAATATGAAGAGCAAAATAGTTTTCTCAGGAAATGAGCTGAGTGGTTTGCAATACTATGAAAATAACGCTAATGCGACAGTTTTTGTGTTAGTTCAGACTGCTGTGGGCTGTGCCCTGAGTGCTACATGACCCCTCTCTGCCCTAATAATTATGCAGCCTCAAATTACGCAGAGCAGCTCTTCAGCTCAAGGTACAGACTTTTTATCTCTGGGCAGTTAAAACGGGAGCCATAATGTTTTACTGCGAGTCATCCCCGCTGTTGCTACAGATGTAAACAAGGAGACAGTCGCTACAACTGGCAAATTACCAAAGGGATACGGATGATGTATGCCTGGCAAAGCTTTGTCTAACTACTTTCTCAGGTACAGGAGACTAGTTACTACAGTAGATGGCGGTTTTGTCGTTGACAAGAGATATTATCGCGATAGCGATGGCGAAACCCCCACAACTAAAAACTCAGGCAGGAAAAACAAGCCTAGGGAAAAAAAAAAAAATCAGTCTTAAACGAAACTCTGACTCGGCAGTGGCTCGGCAGGAGACGCTGCTGTAGCACGGCCGCGGCAAGGCCGGTTCTCCCCGCGCGGGGAAGGAGCCGGGCGGGGTACCCCGGACCCCCGCTCCCTGCGCGGGAGCCTTCTCCCCAGCGACCCTTCGGCGCGCCGGAATCAAAACTAACTCGGAAACGCGCCTGGGAGCTTTTGCAAACGGGGCGGGGGGCTGCCCCGCCGACCTCCCCATCT